ACACACAACCACTTGGGTTAACCGAGATGCTAACCCTGCTATAGATGCCGAGCTTTCTGACTTGCATATCATGCTCTTCCCTGTTGCCTCAGAATAACCGCAGCCAAAAGAGTAGCAAAAGCTGGTCACTTAACAAATTGAGGAAAATTACGGGGAAAAAAAAAGCAGAGAGAGAGGTCTCCTCTCTCATTGGTGGCTACAGGCAATAGTCCCCAAGCCCCAGCACAACAGTGGCTTGGTTTCCTACAGGATGACATCCATCTGGCTCCAGCACATCAAAGCAGGTCTTCCAGATGAAGCTTTTCATCACATGGCAGTAACCATGCTCTGCTGTTGTTTAGTTAGCCCCCAGCACATCACACAGCCCCACGGCTGTGGTCTCAGCCCTCTTCTTGCCCCAGCTGTCCCACACTGCCCTGTGGCAGCCTGTGCCCCCTCCCTGCACATTCCAGTGGCCTGAGCCACCACACAGCCCCCCAGCTGCCTCTCTGCACTGCACACAGGGACCCTGTTGGATTTAGGACCACCACCTGGGGCTGGAGATGCCTGTCTCCAGTCCTGCTGCAACACTACAAGCCATTTCCAGGCCTCAATATCCCTCCCTTTTTCCACCTAAGACCCAGCAAGAGCAGAACCACCACACTCCACCTGCACATCCAGGTGGACTAGACGAGTCCTTGCATTAAGAAACCCTGACAGCTCCCTCCATCAATCTGTGCAGCCCCTTTCTGAACCCACAGAAGCATCCAGCACTCACATCACACACGAACACAGAGCCCAGAGCTGAATTCGCCATGTGAGACACAAAATGTCTTGTTTGCGTGCATGTCTACCATCTGCTATTGCCATTGCTTCTTCCAGGTTTGTAGTGGAAGAAACAGCAGACAGCCACACCCACCCTCCCTCACCATGCAGTTTCCATCACACCCTGTCTTGCTGCCTTCCCCCAGCTGAAGAGCCTGGGGCTTTTCCTTTAGGAAAAGCTAAACAGGCATCCCAGGCCTCTGAGCAGCCTTGCTGCCCTTCTCTGAACCTTTGCTGGTCTGCTACATATTTTTTGAGACAAGAGGACCAGGGCCACACAGAGCATCAAATTGCTGTATGTACCATGGACTTATTTATGGACCATAACAACACTCTCCAGGTCATTCTCTTTTCCTCCTACTTTCCAACAGCCAATTTGCTTTTTTTGACCACTGTTGAGCTCTAAGCTGACATCTTCTAAAATCTAACTCAATTCCAAGCTCTTCCTCAGACTAGATTTTAATTGGAAGAGACCAGACCTGTAGAATGATGCACAGTGTAAAAATTCAGTACACGAGGGATATTTTTCATTTGCCACTATCAGCTGATTTTACAGGTACTCCAAATAATTCAGTGAATTCAAAATGTCACCTCTTTGCCTCCTGTCCAAGCTGCCCTGACTGTCTTTGTCAGAGCCCCATAGTTCAGGCAGCCTTTCCCCCCCACTGCACCCACAACCCACACTTATACATCTCCCTACGCTCCCATCCTTCTGCAGGCTGCTTTGAATGAAGACAAGGCAACTTGAAACCTGCCTTAGGAAGATGGGGAGAAGGCAGTCATCCTCTTTGACAACAAAGCTGAACACAAACCCTGAGAAAAACATCTGTCCAGGCCAAGCTAGGAGAGATGATGCTTGCTACAGATGTTAGTCCCAACCACTAACAGCATCTGAGGCTTTCAAAGAAGCACTTGTCCTTCCCTGCAGCTTGCTTCTTCAGCTCTCCATCACCTCCCAAATCTAAGGCATTCAAAAGACTTGGGATATGGCAGGGCACAGTCAGCTTATGGCAGATGCAGGAACATAACACATCTCCTGCTGCTGGGCTAACAGTCCTCATTTACCTCTCTCAACTCCTGGTGTTAGAATAAAAAGCTGATAGGAACCAAGAGTCACCTCATCTTCTCCAGAGAAAATGAAGCAGAATATTTTTTCATGAGCACAGATACCTTCACAGCTGGACAAAAGGCAAAGAACTTCTACAAAAGCTGCCCTGAGGGCCCAGGCCACATGAGAGGAAGGAACCACACAGGCATGGCAAATAGGCAGAGGATGGACAGAAAAAGTGAGGAGTCAGAAAGTACATCCTAGGCATAGAAGGCAGAGAGGGAAGCCAAGGAAGTAGCCAGTCAAAGATGCACCATCATAGTCATCTACTCATCCCAGTTAGAGAAGGACAAAGAGACAAGACAGAGAGGAAAGGGAGCTCCACAATCCTTCAAGTCTTCCAGGCAGCCCCACAGGAGCAGGCCTGGCTGGCTCTTCCCCCTACACCACCACCTCAAACTGGTCCACGAGCAACTGCTCTCCCTGCACCATGCTCTGAGGACACCAGGCTTTCCAGGTGTCTTCTGCTGATCCAGCCAGCCACTACCCTCTCTGAAATAGTGAGGTGGTGTGCTGACAGGCGGAGCTGCAAGACAATGTCACCACCTCTTCTTCCTTACTTTTCCAGCAACAAGCAATCTCTCAACCCCACACATCCTTCTGGGCCAGCTCCACATCTCACAGCTTCAGAATTAGCAGAGAGCACTCCAGCTCACATAGCTTTGGTGCTTGGGCTCTGTCAAGACAGAAGTTCAAGCACAAAAAGTTCAAGCACAAAGCCAAAATGTGAAAGCCCAAGTGGAGAAAGGAACAGAGGCAGAACAGTAGTAGTAGGAAGGTCAAAAGTTTTACCCGGAAACATCTTATGCAGATACCTTTGACCAAGCTGCAATGCCATGGAAGTACAGCCATGGAGAGAGACACTGGCTTTCTGGGAATTACACCTCCAAAAGCAGAGGGATGCAGGGTCTAAGGAAGAGAGATAACAGAGCCAAAACCCGTAGCTGCCAGCTGAGCTTGGTAACCCAGCAGAGGGTTTTCTGCCAGGTCCAAGGCCTGTAATGGCTCCCTTGTTTCACTCATGCCCTGCAGGCTCATTTTAAGCCCACACTGAAGTCTTCCTGGCTGTCCCTAAGATATCTTGGCACAAGGCCAGGTCGTAACACAAGACACAGAGATAGCAGCAATCTTAGATAATGTGAGGCATGTGCGCACACACACACAGGGAGGACAAACAGTTTTCTCAACTGCCACATAGCATCCTTGAAAGAAAAAAATCTTCTTCAGCTATGAAAAGCACAGGAGATAGAGAGAGTAAGCCTACCTGCAGTCTGCTAACTTGACCTTCTCAGGGCATGAAAAGCAAGTGGGAGAGAAATACTTTTTTGTCTTGCTATTAAATCTTCAAATAACAATGTGTAGGAGAATCCTACCTTCCTGCCCTGTGCGCCGAGCTAAAGGGGGATGGGAGGAAGGGGGAGAAGGGTTGGAGTCAAGTTGAATTTCCTGCTGAACAGGCTCTCAGCTGACCAGCGATCCCAGGAGACAAAGCCCGTCTGCCTAGAATTTCTTTTCTAACTCCAGGGTGTCTGCCATTGTATGCATAGCCTAGTTACAGTTCACTGAATTAGCACAAAAAAAGGACTTGATTTCCATAATGAAAAAGCCTCCACATGGCTCCAGAGTGATACAAGAAGAAAGAGCACAGCAGCTTGGGAAGATTTAAAAAAAAAAAAAAAAAATCGAATCACTTTTTGCCTCGTTGAATTGCAGTTTTGAGCCCCCAAATGAACAGCTATTTTTAGCTGATCATCTGGAAAGTGCAAGGGAGCGCTAAGCACTGGGCTCAGCATCACTGTCTGCGGGAAGCCAGCACGCAGCCTCAAGAGAGGGTTAAACATAGTCAGGCACTGCACATCTGCATCATCAGCATTGCACAGGGACCAGCAGCACAGGTCTATTTATAAACCAGACATGTAGAGCTGTAGCCTGCAATGAAAGGCTAGCATTGCAGGATGTCAGTCTTCAACAACATGATGTCTAATTTAATTAGAGAGATGGCTATGTTCACATGCACACACATATGCACACATCTCCTTTTCCCAAGAGAGTTATGAACAACAAGCTCAGTGGTTTGAAAACAATACATTTCACAAAGGTTTCTGTGCAGAGGGCAAGTATCTCCAGCAAATCTGTCCTCACACAACCTTCCCATTCCCTCACTCTGTGACCAAATGTGACCAATGGGCTATGGCTGCTACAGCTCACTACTGCTTGGGTAATCACCAGCCCGTGGGTGGTTACTGGGTTTGTTTGTAGCCCTGGGCATGAAAACAAAGTCACTGTAGCAGTATTAATCTGCATGGAGAGAAGAAATTAATTGAGTTTGCAAACAAGGTATTTGGGAGTCACGCACCTTCTGCACCAGGACAGATTGCTGTGCCATCAGTTTCCATTTAGAAAGGTGAAACCTGGTTTCACATACAAAGCTCTGCCTGCCACTAAGCAGCTAGAGGGAGCATTTCCTTGTTGTGGGACTAGAAAACAAAAGCCTCTGTCATCTTCTCCCTGATCCCACTCTCACTCACAGTACTCCCTGGTGAGCTGGACTCTCTTGCCCAGGAGTCCTTGAGCGAGGGACCTAGCAACAGCAAAGGACAGGAGGAGAGAACTGGCTGCAATCAGGCTGCCATGGATAAAGCACTGTTGACACACAACAAGCAACTAGCTGACAAAATATTAGGGTACAAATGGCAGCTGCTGGTGAGGCAAAAGCAGCTGCAGAGGAAGCCTGGAGACGAGGTCATAGCCTGGGCTCTGCTGTCACCTCAGCCCCTGGGGCTGCATGAGGACATCCCACACACATGAGGACATCCCACAGGTGGGGACTCCAGCTGCACAGCACAGCCCGGCAGCCATCAGGTAGCCTGAAGCTGGTTCCCCACATAGGGAGCACTAAGCACATACGTGCCTTTCTGCCTCTTCCAACCCCAAACAGAAACCACTTTTAAAAGCACCTGCAAGGAACACGGGCAGCTATGTTTGGGTTCAATTCGCCTAGGCTTGTTCTGACAGCCACTGCAAATACAGTCCCCAGTGCCTATGCTCACAACCTAATGTGGCACTCGTTCAAAAAACAACAACAAACCTGTTCTGGAGGAAATGATGCTTCTGGAGTCCAAGTCAAGCTTCTTTACTAGAGTATCAGGGTCAATCTTCAGCCCGGAAAAGACACCAGAAGATGAGAAGTCCCAGTCCTTATCCAAAAGAAACATTAAGCAGGAGTCAGTACAAACACCACTAGGCAACATTCATTTAAAAAAAAAAAAAAAAAAAAAAAAGAAATCAAATCCAGCACCATCCAGACAGGAGCAGGGTACACACTCCCGTGGTAGCATGCAGGTGCCTCTCCTGAGCAGGCGGGGTAGGTAAGTCACCCCACCAGCCTGTTGCCCCCAGGCTCTTCCACCCAGAAGGAAGTTTCATAAAGTCATGTTTTGGACTGTTCTATTCCTAACAGATTTCTACCTGAACTCAGCCTCCTCACTCAAGCAAATTCAGGTTCAAAAACAGCTCCTAGGAGAACTGTGAACAGCATCCTTAGGAAAAGCCAGATTTATTACAGGTATGTAAGTATGTAACAATACAGATAAGCAACAAATGAGCAGATTAGGGGCCTAATCCTAAACTGACGGACATTAAGCGGATTCAGTGACTACTAGCAACTTACCAAATCTTCAGCATCTAGTTCCTTTAAGCGTGCAATACCTCCCTAAGTCCTAAGCTTTGCAGTAGCTTCTCTGGTTGGCTTAGAAGAATTTATTTTAGCCAGCAGTATCTCCCAGCACCGACACATAACTTTATAGTGGTATAAAACCAGCTGTATATGGCACAGCCTACTCCTCCCTCCTCACAAGGAAACCTGTAGGTGCATAAAAACCGTTTACTGCTGTTCTGTCTTTGCTGCAAGGGGGCTGGGGGAGGCACCCAGCTTTAACCTCAACTGCGTACTAATAACACAGCTGGTGAGACCAGACATGGTCTAAATCTCCTAAATGATTGTGTGTAAACTGACAGGTCATCTCCACCTACCCTAACCTGAAATCGAAGAGATCCACTGCAAAACAAGCCAGGGAGCCTCTTACCTATCTACTCCCAACACTTGCTGGTAATAATCCCCACTACCGCATCCAAGTTGGCCCACCAAGACGTAGCACAGGCACCTGCTCCCCCAGCAGCAGGAGCAGTGCTGGCATGTGTCTGTCACCACCACCTCCCTAAGCAGGCTCTCCTCTCTGCATGCTAAAGGCCTGGGGAGGCTACAGTGGCTGCCATAGCGTAGTTGCCATAGCTATGGGGGCTACCATAGCTGCCACTACGTGGCAGTTCCATCATCGCGGCGGATGGTGCGGAGCGGCAATAGCCACCACCGGAGCAGCACGCTGGGACTCCCACGGTGCACAGGCAAGACCTTGCGCTGGAGCCCTGAAGCTCCAGGCTCCCTTGCTTCGCCTCCCCGCCTGCTCGGACGAGCTGTGCCCTCGCTGGCACACTCCCGCTGGTGATAAGCAGCCCAGCAAAGAGCGCCACGGCAGCGCCGAGGCCGAGGAACAGCAGCAGGGGCATAACGCGACTTTCCTCAGTGGGAAGAGACCGGCCTTCAGGAAACAGCTTCACTCAATCTCCTGCCCCTCTGAGATCCTGTCAGCTACCACCAGTGCTTCCCCATGTCCGAGGGGTGTCCTTAGACACCCTGCGAAGCCACGCCTGCCGGTGCGGTGACATCCCGCGAGGGTCCTGCGCCCGTGACGGCCAACGCGTGGAACTCCACGGCGTCCCATGCGCTCGAGAGACCGGGCCGGGCTGGGACCGCGCAGGGATCGGGTGCCGGCCCGGCCCGACCC